AAAAAAAACTTTAAACTAAAATACTAGAAATCAATTTTAAACGAAATCTTAATTAAAGCCTTACCTTAAGAACCAGCGATGAAATTTACCGTTCTAATAAACCGCGAAATATTAATTTCATTTTATTCTAACAAAACGGTCAATTTATAAAAATCAAAAAGAAAAGAAAACTCTAAAGGGACTTGGCGCGCTTCTAGTCTAGGGTTTTAGATAACAGTCCCAAAACCCCAAATCCCGCCCCATATTTTCCATGGGTAGTGGATGAAATCCTTCTCTTCTCCGACTGTTTCATCTCCGATCTCCATGTCTCTCTCATCCACTCTTCGCTTCTCCCATCTTATCCGCCAAAACCTCTTCCTCTCCCCACTTTCCCTCTGTCCTACCCGTTTACTGGCACTCCGGCGGAATTACTCGGACCTCCGTTTCCTCTCGGTAAGCCCAACTCGTAACTTCCATGCTGTGAACGCAAAGCACCAGGGAGACGACAGAGAGGAGCCGGAGGGAGGGTCTAATGGGAGTTTGGGATTGGTCAAGGATGGGAGTGGTGGCGGTGGCAGCGACGGGCGCGTTGTTCTTGCTGAGCTTCACAAGGAGGCTACTGAGTCGTATATGGCATACGCACTCTCGGTCTTGCTTGGACGGGCCTTGCCTGATGTTAGGGATGGTTTGAAGCCCGTGCACAGGAGGATACTGTGAGTATTATGTTCGGGCTCTTGAATTTTCTCTTAATTTTATTTTTGTTTTTTAGAGGTTTGGTGTTTTGAGATTGATTCCCCCCCACCCCCCACCCCCCATTTTCTGTTTCTTTTGTAATTCTGTTTTCTGTCCGATTGCTGAGTGAACTGATGAAAAAGGAAGGAAATGGAAATTCAACAGCTTTGCCCTTGATTAGCATATATATTTCAAAGTTTGAAACTGTGACCTCTGTTATCTTAACGTGCTAATTAGCTCTTTTTATTTTATTTTTTCTCAAACATTTTACTACAGATTTGCAATGCATGAATTGGGTCTCTCATCCAGAAAACCATTCAAGAAGTGTGCTAGAGTTGTTGGAGAGGTAAAAGGTTAAACAATAGAGGTGCTTTGTAAGAGAGGTTCCATATAGTGGCTTTTTTACAAGATATTGAGGTTTTAAGTATTGACATTGCTTGGATTGCTTATCTTATCACTACCATCTCGATGCCTTTATTTCAGGTTTTAGGTAAGTTTCATCCACATGGAGACACTGCTGTCTATGATTCATTGGTGCGAATGGCACAGGTGATAATCAAGTTGCATGACTAAAATAAATTTGGATTTCAATGTGTTTTGAAGTTCCTTTTATTTCTATTTGATTTCCTCTGAGGTTGATGTCACCTCCATGGTGAAATTGATTTCTGGGTTTTCCTAGTGTTAACTTGATGATGCATGGGGTGGAATGTTGATACCATACATCAGCATCGTTATCATTTCCTTTTATTTGTGCCTGTAAAAGAATATGATAGGCTGATTGATGCTTCTGTTCTGCAAGCAGTTTCTTTCTTCAATTGTCACCTAAAGCCTACATGTATCAATTGCTGGGCTGTTTGTTGATTTTGTTTTAAACCCTTTTCTGGAAACATTTTATATTAACTTTACACATCTGTACCTCAGGATTTCTCCCTGAGATCCCCACTTATCCAAGGGCATGGAAATTTTGGCTCCATCGATGCGGATCCTCCTGCTGCCATGCGCTATACAGAATGCAGACTTCAAGTATGATAAATTTCTCCTTTCAGTTGAAAATGATTGTTGTGCTTCTATGGTAGCCACATAGAAATTATTTAAATTTTCTCCTCACATTTCTCTAATCAGACTACATTTCATTCCTCTGAATCCAAAATTTATCAGTAATGTTTTCCAAATCTGCCCTTAATTTGTAGAATGCATTTGACAAATGGTAATTTATTTGGCATACTATTTTGCTTTATCTCTAATTATCTCATCTGGAATTTTCCATTGTTCATCCAAGGTGTGCTACTGTGCTGGCTAACTGTAGATGCCTACATTGTTTGCTGCACATGTTTTCTTCCACTGTTGCGTTTTATAGTGATTTACCTAATTTGAATCTTGCAGGCAATCACTGAAGCAATGCTGTTGGCAGATCTGGAGGAAGATACGGCAAGTTCTGGTCTTTATTGCAGTTTGGACAGCCAATTGGAGTCCCTAATCTTTAATCATTGTTGATATTCCTACGAATAATTTCAATCATGAACTTTATTGCAGGTTGATTTTGTTCCAAACTTTGATAATTCACAAAAAGAACCATCTCTTTTGCCTGCTCGGCTTCCAACATTGTTGTTGAACGGTTCCTCTGGGATTGCAGTGAGTTACTGTAAATTTGTTTGATTCTCAACTGCTAACTTAACCATTCTTGTTTCTTCACACTGTTCTTTTTTTTTATTAACAACATTGGTAAAATATCAAAGATACTTTGTAATTTCAGGTTGGCATGGCAACTAACATTCCTCCTCATAATATTGGAGAGTTGGTAGATGTGCTCTGTGCATTAATTAACAATCCAGACGCCAGTGTAAATGCATATTTCTTTCTTCTTATAATCATATATATATATATATATATGTATGTATAATATTTTACTTCTTACATCTTCTTTTCTGTCTCAGTTACAAGAGTTGTTGGAATACATGCCTGGACCTGACTTTCCAACTGGAGGACTAATAATGGGAAATCTTGGGTTCGTCAAATCTCATGACTTTTAGCTTTGTATGGAGAATCAACTTTCTTTGAAGCTTTAACTAAAATGATATAAAATAATTGGTTTAAAGATCCAGGGTCATGTGCACCTAGAAAATGCCCCTCTTTGAACATCAGGAACATGCTGGCCCTTGTTTTGATTCTCGGTTAAAATGTCGAAAATTTTTATGATTGTTCTCCATTTGATTGTTTTATCAAGGATCTTGGATGCATATCGAACTGGGCGAGGACGTATTGTAGTCAGAGGGAAAGCTGATGTTGAATTGCTTGACTCAAAAACAAAGAGAGATGCTATTATCATAAAAGAGGTGATAAACAATCAACCTGATTGAATTGATTGTAAATGCTGATTTACATATTATTGATATTTATGGTTTGAGAGCTATCTTGTTTACTATCTTTGGAATGTAACAGATTCCTTATCAAACAAACAAATCTTCGCTTGTTGAGAAGATTGCCGAACTTGTTGAGGATAAGGTATGGCTAATTTGTTCTAGAATGTCTTTACTATTAACGATTATTATTGTTTTCTTATGAAAATATTAAGCAGTTGCATGCTTCACTGTATAAAACTGATTACGTAAGCACGAAGTTACTTCTATATTTACTGATTTATTTCCCCCTACCCTATTTCTGGTTGATTGAACTTGACAGTTTAAGGTGGAGTTTCAGTGCTTACTTCCAAGCATTTATTTAATCTGAAGTTGTATTCTTGATCACATACTGCATTTGAAGAATAATTTCATATATACATTCAAATTAATCATTTATATTTGTTTTCTTCTTGCCATCATTAATGTGTTTTTAACAGAGTTTGGAAGGCATTAGTGATATTCGTGATGAGAGTGATCGTTCTGGAATGCGTATAGTCATTGAGGTACAATAATATTGTTGCTATGCTCTTTTATATTCAACTCCAATTTGTAAAATCATTTTGTTTTCTGACATGCTATCTGTTGAAGTGTCTCTGGTGGAACATTTTGCACAACTAACTAGTTTCTTTTTTCTTCACTCAACAGCTTAAACGAGGAGCAGACTCTTCAATTGTTCTAAATAATCTTTTTCGTCTTACTGCCCTTCAGTCTAGTTTTAGCTGCAATATGGTGGGGTGTGTAGTTTCTGGAATCTAAAACTAGTCTTTTTTCTGTATGCTATCATTTTTTTGACGTTGAACAATCATCTTTAAGTCAGTTGTTAAGTTGTAACCAGCAAACAGGTTTTGCCTAATGTTGTATCTGTGAAAAGGCAAAAAGATTGCAAATAGGATGAAGATCTTGTTGATAATACTTTGGACTTCCATGCTAGTGCATTTTATATTTATTTTGACAAATATTTTGTTATAATTCTATATATATCTTCACCATGACGGCAAAAATGCAATGTCATGATACATCTCTTGCTTTCTACTACAGCATCCTTAATGGACAACCTAAGCAAATGGGTCTTAAAGAATTGCTTCAGGTGAGCATCTACTACCTTTTTCCTGTAACACAATTGTTTCTTCACCATGTTAAAATGTGCAGTTTTGAGACCTAGAATGTGTTTACCTACAATTTTCTTCCTCCCCGTTTCTCAGGCTTTCTTAGACTTCAGATGCTCTGTTGTTGAGAGACGTGCCCGGTTTAAGCTTTCACAAGCACTGGAAAGAAAGCATATTGTTGAGGTATATGAAGATGGTTGTTTACATATTGAATGATGATAAGCTGTGAGGTGTTTGGGAGAATCATGTGTTGTCATTGTCTCACTCATTCTGGATGCTGTTGATGCTGATCAAGATCTGTTGATAAAAATCCAAATGCTTCTGACCTTTCAAGAGAAGAGAATCTTATTCTGAATCTCATAGGAACTAGGAAGAACAGTAAAATAACCCTGTTATTATTATTATTTTTTTCCTAAAAAATCAAGCCAGCTGCTTCCTAGAAGGCTGTTAGAAAATAAATCCCTGCCACGTAGGAAACACACCTAAGATACACCAAATGGACATTTATGGACACTTTAATAGAAAAACACCCATAGAATCTCAAACATACAATAACGTGGTACCAATGACTGCAAAAAGATGCTTTACTTTATTTGTTTATATACAATCATTGCCTTTTGTCAATCTCGTTTCACATCAAGAATTTCTTCTTAACGTTCAAATGTTTAACGGTTTTCATATGTTGATTTTGTGCATTTAGGGTATTGTGAAAGGGCTTGATAATTTGGATAGAGTAATTCATATCATTAGAGAAGCTTCAAGCAATGCAGCTGCATCAGCTGGTCTGAGAAATGGTAACAATCACCTTCTTTAACTCTCATTTCTCTTTGCGGAGCTTCTTTCTGTCCCTTAGCAAAGAGGATTGCTGTTTTTGATTATTTATTGAAAATGCTTGGCAACTCTACTGGAGTTGCATCTTGTTGTCTTTCACCTCTTCCTCCCCCTCAACACCAAAACAAGTTTAGGATAATCTTGCAATGATGGATAGGGATTATGTAAGATTATCTATGGTTAACTTGATTAATATGTATCTATTTATGATGCAGAATTCAATCTATCTGAGAAACAAGCTGATGCTATATTAGACATAAACTTACGAAGACTTAACCTTCTTGAGGTGGGTACCATTCCACATCATTCATAAATCATAACAAATTATACCTTTGCAGAATGGTTTTTCTTTGGTTATTTTCTTTTGCAAATAAGTTTATCTGAATCTGCAGCGCAAAAAGTTTGATGATGAGAGTCAATCTCTGGTAAAGCGTATTTCAGAGTTAGAGGAACTATTATCAAGCAGGAAAAACATATTACAGGTAAGATGTGTGAAAGTTTATTCTGCTTTATTTGAAGATGTAAAATCAAAATATATTCCAGTTTAGTCGATGGATCTGGGATAATTTCTTGAATTAGAGACTTCTGATCCTCATGTACTTGGATCTCAAGTTTTTCCAGGGTTGATAAAGTGTCCTTTTTAGGTTCATTTTTCACTCAAGGTCAAGGATATACATTAATTTTTATTTTTATTTTTTATACTTAGTGGGCCACTATTTGGTGCAAGGGTAAAATTCTGGGCTAACAAGTTCAAGATTGTGGTTTCAAGTTTTAAGACTTGAACAAAATGCCTGAAGCATAGGACTGGTTTTATTGAATCCTTTAAACTTGTTTTGCCAATGTAATGATACATAATTGTAGAACTTGTTCCATGGAATAATCTCAGCTTGTTTTCATTGTGCTGATGGATGGTTGAGTTTTTGTGCCCCTTCTCATTTTACTTTCAATTCTAGTTAATAGAACAAGAAGCGATTGAGCTAAAGAACAAGTTTTCCAGTCCAAGGCGTTCAATATTGGAGGACTCTGATGCTGGTCAACTTGAAGACATAGATGTTATTCCAAATGAAGAAATGCTGCTGGTATGTGACAAAAATTGATGTCTTTAATTGACTAAAGTTTTCCCTTCTTTTCCAATTATTTTTACAACAAATTGAGGCGCAGTTTTTTTCCTTAGATACTGAAGAATTAGTATTTTGTCTGAATTTTCTGTACACTTTTTCAGGCACTCAGTGAGAAAGGTTATGTTAAGCGGATGAAACCAAATACCTTTAATCTTCAAAATCGTGGAACAATTGGCAAATCTGTTGGAAAACTTCGAGTGAATGATGCCATGTCCGATTTCATTGTTTGCCGTGCACATGACCATGTGCTGTATTTCAGGTATGTCTATATATCCTCTTATTATTTATTTCTTTTACATTTGTATGATGTTTTAAGATTTTCTCTGATGTTTCTTCTTCTTCTTCTTTTTTTTTTTAATTACTTCTTTCCTTTTCTTCTTGCAAAGAAAATTGGTAGTGCTGCTTTTTGTTCCTTCAGTGACTGTCATAATGACTGTAAATTACTTTTGCAGTGATAGGGGCATAGTGTACTCAGCTCGTGCATATAAAATTCCAGAATGCAGCCGTACTGCTGCTGGGATGCCACTGGTCCAGGTGGTTATTTGTGTTTGTTATCTTATTTGATAGATATTTGTTTTGATGCTTGCAAAAGGTAATTTTTCATATTGGCATGCTGGAGGCAGATCCTATCTTTATCTGATGGTGAGAGAATAACTTCCATTATTCCTGTGAGCGACTTTGCTGAAGACCAGTTCCTGTTGATGCTTACAGTAAAAGGCTACATCAAGAAAGTGGCTTTGAATTCTTTCTCGGCAATACGGTCAACAGGAATTATAGCACTTCAGTTGGTTTGTTTTCTAGTCTTCTTCATCAAGGGACTCTTTTATCTATTTCTGGAATGCATTAATTTTATGCCTCATGCTTTAACATGCTAGGTTCCTGGTGATAAGCTGAAATGGGTACGTTGTTGTACAAATGATGACCTTGTAGCCATGGCTTCACAAAATGGAATGGTCATTCTAAGTTCATGTGACATTGTAAGTATTCTTATGCTGTTTCTCCCTCATTGAGCAACGCACTGGCGAACTTTTTTGGTTGAGGTTTTGGTAGATCTTTTAATGGTTTATTTTTCATGTTGTTGTCCTACTTATTTTCATTGTTGTGTACTTAGATTCGGACACTCAGCCGGAAAACTAGAGGTTCTATTGCGATGAGACTAAAAGAAGGGGATAAGATGGCAAGCATGGACATCATACCAGCAGCCATGCGGAAAGATTTGGATAGGATGGCGGAATCTCCCATAAGCAAGTAATTTTTTAAACATATTCTCTATATTTGTCCATGGTGGATTTTGATAACTTTTTGCAATGATTAATGACTCTCAAAGCTTGTTTGGGCATGAACAGCATGCCTTTTACGTTGCCAGTTTCAGTCTCAGATTGTGCATACCCGTTGATTTGATGTCCAATTTTACTGAATGTTTCATCGTACCATCTATTAGCTTTCTCTAACCTTATGTTTTTACGTTTTGTTCACCAACACAGTAATAAGGGATTGAGTGGTCCATGGCTGTTGTTTTTGTCTGAGAATGGCTATGGAAAGCGGGTCCCTCTGAGTAGTTTCCGGCAGTCACCATTGAACAGAATTGGTTTAAAAGGTTACAAGGTACCAGGAAAAAACACATCAGCCTCTTGGTTCTTCAGGTGATTTTACTTTCCCCTGATTTAGGTCTCCTCCGAGGTAACATCTGTTTCCCTTCCATTCTTCAGTTTTCCGAGGAGGATCGCTTGGCAGCTGTCTTTGTGGTTGGTTTTTCTTTGGCTGGTAAGCCATGCAATTTGCACTTTGAATGTGATGTTCTATAAACCCTGGACAAATGACTTCATATGTTCATAAAATTAAACGTGTTTTGGCTTCCTCTGTTTTTCCCTTGTTGATCTAACAGAAGATGGAGAAAGTGATGAACAAGTTGTCCTCGTTAGCCAAAGTGGTACTGTAAATAGGATTAAAGTGAGGGATATTTCAATTCAATCTCGCTATGCAAGGTACGTTTAAGACGCTGAATTATCCGTTCAAGGGGTGAATTGGTGTGGAGCACACATACAATCACCTCAACAAAATGCATCCTAATGTTGATAATGGGATCAACCCAATTCATGCCTAGCTTCATGTATTTAATTTATCTTGGTTTAGGGGTGTTATTCTGATGCGTCTGGAGCATGCTGGGAAGATTCAATCGGCATCCTTAATCTCTGCTACAGATTCTGAGCCGGAGCAATTGGTCATGCCAGCAACTGAAACTGAGGCACCTGAAAACACATCTATTGCTTCATAGATTGTTCATGAGATATCTTTGTTGTATATTACAGAAATGTTACTTGGTAGAACCGTTTTTAAATATCAAATGCATGCATTTTCACTTCTCGTCTACTTCCGATTTTTGGGTCCGAATACATCATGGGAGTATGATTTAATGTCAGAAAAAGTTCAGAAGCTTTGGAAGTGTTCATTATCTTTTTTTTCAGCAAAAAAAACAACGATAAAATATTTAAACTTTGAAAAATTGATTGATTAGTCTTTTGGTTACAAAAATTTCTGGTATTCACTAACAAAAAAAATCCTCAAAAATTAGTAGAGAAAAATGCAGAATTTTTCTTTTCAGAGTTTTTATCCTTAAGATTTATAATTATTAAGTTCTTTTCAGTTTTAAAATTAATTGTTCATTTAAAACATTTGTAAACTACTAGTAGGTACCTCCTATTTTTCCAAAGAAAAAAAGAAGTTAATTTTGAGAATATGGTATAATTTTAAAAGAATAATACATTCAAAATAATAATATTCATGATACCTTTCCGTAATTTTATCCAAAATAAAATGAAATTTATGATTACTTTAAAAAAAAAAA